CTGAAGAAGCTGACGCTCATACCTGGGATTTGGCTGAGCGCGAGTAGAAACTCGCGGCATCCATGCAGCGGCGCGTAGGAATCGCCACCGGCAGAGTGTTTGCCGCCGCGATCGAGGCGAACAAGCGTCCGGTCGAGGTCCAAGAGCACCTGCATACCCTAGAACTTTTATTTATTTTAGGGTTTTAGACTGGAAGCAGGATGTTAGACGGCGAGGGTATTTATATGGATGAGAGCTTTGGGCAAGCCTATGCCCAACATAAGGGAGAGACGAAAGGAGAAATGGCAAAAGAAGCTTCTCATCGCTCACCAGACTTCTGGAGAAAAGACCCCTCATTCCTCTTCATCCAAATCCATTCTCACTCTTCCACTGGCTGGGAGCAATATTCTTCAAAATACCCACTCATTATTTTTTTCTTGCCTTTGTCCTTTGAAAAGACCTTTTCAACTGTAGCCTCTCCGATCACCAATCTGCTAGTTTATGTTGATCTCAACATGGAATAGATTTAGAGATTCTCATCCTGCTCTTAAACATTTTTTCACAGCTAAATAGTAGGGCAAATCATAGTAAAGCTTGAGAAATATAAGGGTACATGTTTTAGGGTTTGGAACAGTTGCCTTCACAAGCTCAATTGTGAAAAGACAGAAGACTATGTGTCTACGTTCTTCTAATGCCAACTTTAGCTACAACCCATTTGGTTGCCATCATCCATGGTGGCAGAATCCAGCCCCAACATAAAAAGTCCTACATGTATTTGTTTATGTTGGCTCCACTTGCTAAAAGTGCTTATACCTCTAGACCTCCTAGCTGTATAATACAGATAATGTCAAATATCTATATAGCAAATTTTCATTTGTTCTAAATTTTTCCAACAATTGGCCAGATCTCTACTAATGATACCACCTTGAAGAATCTTTTGTGTGTGGTTTGTGTTTGTCTACTACATAATCTTTGCATCATTCACAAACTTGATAATGCTAGATTAGTGAGGCTCACAAGAGTTACAGGCTTCTCAAGCTTTTGAAATGTAAATGATATCAACAATTTAAAATTTAAAGTCTAAAGGATTAAAATAATTGTCTAATGTTGCTGTTTATGAATTAAGTTGAGTGTGGTCTAAATGTTTTTTTCCAGAGAAAGAAAAATCAAATTATTGAGGCAAAGAGAAATGCAAGTGAATGAAAACTAAAGCCTTATTTCAAATCTTAATTAACACCTAATATAGGTGAACAAACATTTAATGAAGAATTGAATTTAAATTAGAGAATTATTAAATAGATATGTGTTTAGAGTTTCTCATGAATCCTCTTATAGTGTTTTGAAGCTTTTCCATAATTAAAACACTTTTTCATTTTTAAATAATAATCACTATTTTCTATTTTACTTTTGCCTTTGGTTTTCTTCAAGATAATTTTTTTGTCTTCATCCAATTAGTCAGCTTTTTTGTCTCTATTCTCCATTAAGTCAACTATAATTCTAATAAATCCATTGTAATATGCTTTGTGACATTTAGTTTTTGAAAAAGTACTTATTCATGTTTTTAAACTTATCTTACCTCAATGTTCTTCATCCTTCTTTATAGGTTTTGGAGTTCTCTATCTTCCTTATGCTAATTATAAAAATCTATAGTGAAACATAAATTGAAATTTAAGGAGAGTAATAAGAAGAATAATAACAATGTACAAATGAATTTAAATACTATAGCATATCTATAGCATCTATATATATTTATATACTATAGCATATTAATAGTCTGTCAAATCTTCAGTGTTAGTTGATGTTAGTATTGATAATTCTTCAATGACATAGTTTTGATTCTCAATATGAGTTCAGTTTTAGCCATATATACAAATACTCCTCAATGACATTTAGAGCATGTGCCTATAATTTAGGTTTATACACAATACAAAAAACACCATTCATAGATTAAAATAGTACAATATAATAATGCAACATACCAGATTTATACTCTTTAAAGTTCTGTTGCAAATCCAAAATATGTATGAAATCTAGTTGAGAATGCATCCTTTTTATATAATTGGGAAAACTATAAC